GAGACATGTGCATTTGATATGAGAGTGTAGTACAATGGAAAGAGTATACAGGGGTTCTAGAGTCAGTGGAACTGGGTTTAAATTCTTCTTATCCTTATTCCCTGGGCCACCTTGGGCAAATTATTTAGCCCTCCTGGGTTTCAGTTTCCTCACCTGGAGAATGAGGGGATTGGACTAGATGCCTTGTGAGGTCCAATCCAGTTCTGTGTCTACAATGGCAGAGAAGGAATCTAAGAACAAGGACTCAATGAAGAGGGAAGGTTAGAAGATACTGGAGAACAGAGAAGTAAGAATGAGAGTAAGATCTTACCAGTTCAGTCCCTTGTTTGCCCCTTCTATGAGAGGGATATAATAAGGGACAGAATATTGAACTCAAATGTTCACAAGAAAAATGATTCCTAAATTGTTTGATAGTCAATAACATCAACACTTGAGGGACCTGTGATTTCATTGGTGTGGGCATTCTCTTCACCAAAGCACGTCACAGTCCCCTGTGCTTTACTAGACAGAGCTTATGAGTTGTTGTACCCAAAATATTCATCACTCTGGGATCTTCCTGGTGATGAGTTTAAGCTTAGTGAGGCTGGTCCTACAGAGATAAATTGCCAAGCCTGTCTGTACTCAGAACACAGGGCTCCATTTGTTTAGCCTTTCAGAGGAAGACTTTCTTATTACAAGATTATAAATGTCCTATTCAAGGTATTGCTCTAATTCCTCTTGAAGTCAGTTTGTATCACTTTGCATATACTTAGCATTTACTTTGCTTGCATACATGTTTTATTGCTCCCAATAGACTGTAACCCCTTTGAAGGAAAGAACTGTTTCATTTTTGTCTTTGTTCCCCAGAAATTAACGCAGTGTCATTGATATGTAGTAGAAATGTAAGAAAGTTGTTGAATCTATCATAGGATTTTAGATCTAGAGATTGAAGGGACCTTGGGAGGCCATCTGGTCAAGCCACATTTTACAGATGAGGAAACTGAGGCACAGAGAGGTTAAATGACCTGCCTAAAGATTCATAGGTAGTGTTAGAGATGCGGTTGAATTGACTCTAATGTAAATACGTTAGCATATTTATTCACTTACTTAAATATCTTCCCATTGCTTTCCCACTTGTCTACCTTCTTAGCTTAAACACAATGTGGCAATTTTAGGAAATGAACCTATTAAATACAGATATGTAGAAGCTTCACTTCAAACCATATTTAACCTAGTTAATATGAGAATAATGATCTGAATCGGTCTGAAAGGCTAACAGAATTTTAAAAATATATCTATGCAAGTACACCTCCAGTTTTATTCTGAATTTGAGTCTAGATCTTTTTTCCCACCTCTAGTGAATATCATAAGCCACCTTTCAACATGGATGTGGAATATAATTATTTTTTAGTTTTCAAAGGATTGCTTCCTTATTGGAAATGACAAGGGGTATTAAAATCTTATAATTGTACACATAACTAAGTGTACACTGAAAAAGAAGGTGTAATATTCCCTTTTTTGTACCACCCAGCACTTAGCTCAGTGCCTGGCACAGAGTAGGTGCTTCATAAATGCTTGTTGACTTGTTGATATTATTAATGTTTTAATTTCTTCTTTTCAGTCTTCTACTCAGTTTGATTAGGGAAATTATGAAATGACCTGAGAAAGTGATTACAAACTCTTGGTTAATGATTTCTGGGAATAAAAAAGCATTCTTCCAAACCAATAGAAATTAGTTTAATTTAGAACAGCAAATTTCAGTAAATTTGGGAAGCTAAATTTTAATTTAAAATGTTGACTTCTTAGGTCTATACCATCTTTCAAAAATAGGTTTAATAAGTTTGAAGTTATATGAAAAACATTTTTTGAATTAGTGAGCCAAAAAGAGGCATTAAGAATAAACTGTCCCCCCACTCCTCATGTCACCCTCACAGCTCCTGCCTCAGTGTTTGTCCACCTTTTTCCTCCTTCCTTTGTATGGGGGACAAAAGGCACTATGGTCTAGCTACCCTACTTCCTCCAGGTTAGCCCCGAAAAAAAATCCTGCCAGAAGTAATGTGAAGAATTGTGATTGTTGCTTTTCAGGAGACACTAAAAAGATATCTTATTATAAGTAAATCAGCAAGTTACTCTAGAAACTGAAGTATAGATATTGTCGTATTGTAGCAAGTAACACTAATAAATTGGGAGAACATTGCTTTTGCTAAGGGATTCAAACAGAAGCAGATATATTCATTATTCAGTACTTTTCCCATTGGCCTCTTGAAAACAGAGCAGACAGTGTGGATGCAGTCAGTTCAATTCAGTTCAACAAGCATTTATTAAGTACCTGCTCAGTAAGCAGAAATAGCACTGACTGAGGAGTCAGAGAGCTAGAAGTTCAAATCTCACCACCAGTGCCCATGGACCTATATGATCTTGGTCAAATCACTTAGGAGCAGCTAACTAGTACAGTGGACAGATCACTGAACCTAGAATCAGGAAGACCTGAGTTCAGCTGCAGCCTCAGACATTTAGTATCTGTGTGACTCTGGGCAAGTCATTTAACCTGTCTGCCTCAGTTTCCTCAACTGTAAAATGGGGATAATAATAACACCTGCAAGGTAGGTGAGGGTCAAATGAGATACTATTTGTAAAGCATCTAACAGAGTGCCTGGCAGATAGTAGGCTCTATAGAAATGTTAACTATTGTTATAGCTTACCTTTTGGGGGCTTCAGTTTTATCATCTGTAAAACAAGAAAGGTTAGATTAGGTGACCTCTGAGGTCCTTTCCAGCCAGGTCTATTACCATAGGTGCTAGGGTTAGAAAGATGAATCTCTGACTTCGTGAAGTTTATAATCTGGGGTAAGGATGCAGCGTGTGCCCAGACGACTGTATACAAAGTTATTTGGGACATGGGGAGTGGGGCCAGTCAACGTGGATTGCTACTTATTTCAAATCCTTCTTTAGTACTAGTGTCATTGTCAAGTTTATTATGCTTTTGTGTGTCTGAGAGTACGTGTGTAGCTTCATTGACTCATGCTTGTCAGTGGCATCTAGGCAGCATGAAAGAGAAAAATAAAGCTTCAAATGCTACCTTACATGTTCAAAGGGAGTTGCTTATGTACTAGGAAAATCCTTAGTATACTGAATATGATTTGGTTATTATGTGTAGCTTTGGAATTTGCATATTTACCAGCAATAAGCATGGTAACTACTTACTACTGGATCTTGTACATAATGGAGTGGAATAAAGTTAATTTTTGCAACTTCTAGTTATTATAAATAACCCTAATCAGGCATTGGAGAGCATACAACATTTCTCCGTCTTTTGAACTCAGAAACCATCATGTGATTTGGATCCAAATGAAACTATCCCGCCAGCAGTTTCTGTAGTATAAATGATCAATTAAATCGGTATTGCCATATTTTGTTTTTCATTAACCTTATAGAGTCAAGGGTGGGTATTTGTGTATGCTCAGTGAGGTCTGAAAAGTATACTTTCTATGGTTTGCTACCCACCTTCACTTATCACAAAATGAACTCTGACATTTGGGCATTAAAATTTTGTGAATTTACAAATATTAGTTAATTTATAAAATTAGTAATATTTTAAATGCCCCTTGTTGTACCCTGGCTAGCCAATTACCTTGCCTACTTCTAATCTCTGCTCTGGCATCCAGTATTTTATCTTTTCAGTGATTTCCATGTTTAAAAGGCCTCCTCACATTAATTTGACAAAAACCTAGGCCCTTAAATGAATTTTTTAAAAAATGTTTTTTCTGCACTTCACATCTAATAATATGTTATAATATTATCTTGTCTGTTCAGTACTGTGGACTGCAGTGAAAAACATTCCCTTGAAAATCATTGATGGCATGACTGAAACTCATGTCCTTAATAAATAAAAGGTGTGTCAGGGCATCTTACTCAGTTCTGTTACACATCTTATCCACTTAGAGTGGTCAGCATTTCACTTAGCAGTAAACTTAAACATTTTCCACATTATTGAGGGCTACAGCTGTATGACTTGACTTCTTGATAAATCAAATGTGTGCTTTGTAATCTATAGTTTGCACCTGAGGACTGGCTTTAACATAAAATCATTTCTAGTAACAAAACTATTGAAATTCAAAATAATCTCATGACCACATAGTTAAACTTTTACTGGGTATGGTAATTTTATGCTAATTTGAATAACTTTATAGATGAAATATTTTTAACTTTTTTTTCTTTGATCACAGACCCCCTGTGACACCCTGGTGAAGTCTACGGGCTCCTTACAATAATGTTTTTAAATTCATGAAATAAAATGCACAGCATTACAAAGGAAACCAGTTATATTGAATAATATGTTAAATGTTAATATCATTAACAATAGTATCATTGGTTACATTAACATTAGTTATATTAGCAATAGTTGATTTAATGTAATGTTTCTTAAAAATAACTTCACAAGAAGAACCTCTGCTGTAGATCCTCTTTTCAAAAACATCATTGTGCTTGTTCTCATTACTTGTCACTGTATTACCACATACTCCCATTACATAAGTGGGAAAACCGAGTCAGGGTGGTTATTTTCTCACCCTTACAGAAGAGAAACCATGTGGCACAGTGGATAGTATTCTGGACTTGAAATCAGGAAGATATTAGGCAGGTTACTCAACCTCTCTGTACCACAGGCAACTCCCTAGGACTTATCTTAGCCTGATTATGATCTATGATTTTTGCTGATAGAAGGATCTCGTATAGGGTTCACCATGGATCCTTCACGTATCCATAGAGCATAGAAACTTTAAGAGAACTTTTTTTGTGTCAGATCAGTAAGAACACCAAATTGTCATTTTCATCTGTTTGATAATTGATATCCTAAACATTTATGTTGACGATATCTTTTCCATGTTCCTTGTATTATGACTAACAGTGTGCCATGTGGTTAGGTAAGGAGTGGTTTTCAATTGATAATGTCATCTTTTTTGACTTTTACTATATTTCTAGCAATATCACAACCCAGCTTCCTGTTTGCCTTCTTTATTGCAGTTACATATGGGGCTGAAGGCTTTAGGGATTTTCACGCATTAATTCCAAAATCTTATTCTCGTAAGTATACAATTTGCTTCTAGAAAATGACAACCCATTGACATTGAATTCATTTTTTTTCTTGGTGTTGTTCATTCCAGTGTTTGGTATAAATGAGTGTTACTCATTTTTAAGAACCCAATGACATATGCCATTTAATATTTGATTGGCAAACAATATATGAAATATATCTCTTTTATGAGTATTTGATCAATTTTTATCCTTATGAATTCATATGCTTTCAGAAACAGTTAATACTTAGCATTGATGAACACTTTACATTGAATCCTACCATAAGACTATAGGAAAAGTGAAATGGAGAGTGGAGTAATTATATAGTGAATTTAATCCATATTCAAAAGATAATTGGGATGATTCAGGCATTGAGGAAAAACTCCTTTTCCTCAAAGAAAATTTGGTGATCTTGAATTGTCCAGATGATTGTGATAACTCTCCACTTCAGCTTATTATTACAATTATATGTGTCATTTAAGGTAGCCATTTTTTTTTCCTGAAATTTGTTTCAGTTATTGCAAATAGTGTGGCTGTGTGATTCATTTGACTGCCATGTTACTTCCAAGGAAACTACTGCATGTTGCATGCTCTGTGTTTGTGTGTGTAGTTTTTTTTCAATGTAGATGTATATAGATACATATATCTATATTTATGTCTGCATGCATATATATATGATAAAGATATATACATATATATCATACCCCCGAAAGAGACCTTTAATAGGTAAATCATCTAACCATCAAGTTTCTTGAATATAAGTATCTTAGAAATATGGAAAAGGTTTTTTCAATGATTTTAATATCTATGAAGTAAAATCTATAAATTGTGTTCTTGGATGTTTGGATGATGGATCACATAGTAAATGATCTATTTTAGAAGAGCAGGAACATAGATTTGAGGCTAAAAAAAGATCCCAAAGGTCATCTGGCCCTATGTTCTCATTTTACAGATGAAAAAGCCCACAGAAGTTAAATGACTTGTCCAAGGTCACATAGATAACAAGCAACAAAGCCATGATTTGAACCAGTTAGGTAGTTCTATTAGTAATATAAAACACTACTCTCATGAATGTTATTGTCCAATAAGGACAGTTAGGCAGTTCTATTAGTAATATAAAACACTACTCTCATAAATGTTATTGTCCAATAAGGAGCATCATTTGAATCCTAACACCATATATGCAGTTTCTGTCACAGGCAGACACTGAGAACTGTTTGTGCCCCCCCCCACAAAATAGAGGTTATTCTGTTAATTTTTAGGGGAAACATAAAAATGGAGCCCTATGCTCCCTTCAGTAATATTAATCAATGCACCCAAAGATAGCCTTTGAGTCGAGCTGACATCATCACTCTATCATGTCTTGCTGCATGAAACAATGTGCCATGTATTAAATTACTAAGTGCATGCTGAATATTCTCCAACTGATGTTGTTGAACCAAAAGAAATGTTAATTTCCATTTCTTTTTATTATTAACAGTTGTCAAATGGGAAGGGACAAAACTGATAACAAACATACCTTTGTAACCTTCTTTGAATGAGTATTTCAAAGTATTAAGAGTTTGGGAAATTAAATCACTCACTGAACCTTTTGTAAATTGTACAAGATAGCTACCTAATTAAAGCAGCATGAGTTGGTCACCATTTTGGAATGGAAGTAAAGAAACTGTACTGTTCAACAACAAAGAAGGGTCAATATGACTGACCAGACAGCACTGAAGAGGCAGTTTTAATAGATGTAGGAGAAATGGATGTACCCAAACAGCACTGATTTCAATGACACTCCACTTTACCAAATTTGTCCTTAATACTAAAGTTATTTGGGGAAGTTTTTTTGGGGGGGTAGGGTGTAGAATTGTCTTGGTTTTTGTTTGGTTTTTTTTTAGGCCTATTATCTATGCAGGTTTCTGACATACTACTTAACAATAATCTATCATTTTTTTAATAGGGTGGAAAAATGTAACTGTCAAAGTTAATCCCTTGCAGCATGTTTATCATAAATAAATTACTTTAAATATTTTTACAGTCTTATTTACTTCTGTCTGATTCAGCTTTTCATGCTGAAATTGTATTCCTGTTACAAAGAAACTTTAACAAGTTTATGTAACAAGTTTATATATATATATATATATATATATGTGTGTGTGTGTGTATATATATATGTATATATATATATATATATATTCTTTATAACAAGAAAGAGTAAAGCCCTACTATGGAAATAGTTTGATAAGTAGTAAACGAAACAAAAAAACTGGTACATAAAAAGTATATTTTATAGTACTATTTCATTAAATCTGAGAAACTTCAATATTTGAGTCATATTGTAATATTTAATTCAATCCTTTGCCATTTGTGGTACAGATAGATAGATATAGATATATTTGTGTGTATACACAGAGATGTAAGAGATAGTTTTTATAAAACCTAGTATATAATGTATATGTTTGTATCTCTCCGTGTATATGTATATATGTGTGCACATATATGTGTGGATGTTTGTATACATGTCTTTCTGTACATATTTTTATTTGTGATTGGTGACCAATTCATGCCACTTTAATTAGGTAGCTATCTCGTACAATTTATAAAAGTTTTAGTGATTTAATATCCCAAACTCTTAATACTCTGAAATATTCGGTGTATCAATATGCATGCATCTATAGGTACACGCCACATAAATGAATGCATATTTAACACAATTCACGCAGGTATTCTCGAGGAACAGACACTCGGCTCTTGTGAATGGCCCATGCTTATGGCTGTTTGAATGCTACTTCCTCATCTCCTCCCCACTCACCTACAGGTGGTATGGGTAGCAACCAGGCTTTTCTGTACTGAGGATGCCTCCTGGTGGCCAAGATGTAATACAACTCAATGCCTCTTTTCCAACTTTCTTCGTCCTGAGAAACACCATACCCACACATTTAGAAATCCACAGCCCCATTAATTATCCTTTAATGAATTTCTCTTACATCTTCACAAATGTTCATTTTAAAAGACAGTTCCTTCTTCTCCTTTCTGTTCCAGTTTCTTGGCTAGGTAACTGGTAAATGAATGTCTTTCTATTCCAGCTATTATGGACAAGGGACCATAGGAAAGGATTGGCAGAAGTTCTCCTCCTTTCTCTAAGCCACCCTTCCTCCCAAAGAAGTTCCACAGATATCATCCACTGGCCCACATAGGTCATATCCCCAGACCTTCTACTGTGTATAAGACTTTATCACTATTTCATTCTTCAGAACCCATACAGTTCACTCCCATTTCCTGACATTCTGCTCCATCTCCTTAGTCAAGCAACCTGTCCCACTTACCCAACCACATGAAGATAGCAGCATTGCTGTTATTCCTGTTGTAATCCGGGAAGTCCTAAAATGATCGACACCCAAGTTATGAAGCCTACTAAACCAAACAGCAAACCAAAAAAGCAGCCTGACCTTTCTTATGCTGATAATAATATCCACATTTTAACTAAGACATGTAGTGTAATGGAAGGCTTGAGGTAAGAGAATATTGGATTAAAATTCTGGTATTGTTATTTACTACTCAATTGGCCTTAGGCAATGATTTCCCTTCTTTAGACCTCAATTTTCTTCTCTTTAAGATAAGGGGATTATACTAAATAATCTCCAAAAGCCTTTATTTTGCTCTAAATACTGAAGAGAAAACAAACCCCTCTCTGACTAGTGTCTCCTCGGTGTAACAATCATGGCTAAATGTAGGGAACAAGCATTATAAATGTTCTATTTATTGGTTTCTTTATTCTGAAACCACAAAACCTGTATTTTTGCATAGCCAATCATTTTATAAATTGTTACTCCATGAAGAATTTCTTGGATGAAGGCTATTCAGACCATTGAACTCCAGAATTCATTCAAAAGCCATGCTACAGGCTTGAACCACTCTGAAGTAGATACTTTTTAGAAATTTCCAAGTTAAACCAGTGTTCAGGTAAACTGTTCCTACGACCTTAACATGCCAATGGAGCTTAGTGAACTGGTAAGGCCTTCTAAATTTATATTTACCCCTCAAGGTGTCAGTTAAGTATTAATGTTACAACAGTTATCTCAGAGATTTTAAGAAAATTCACTAATCTACACTCACTGTTTCCCAAACCACAAATTTAGGACATTTATACCCCTTTCTCTTTTTCTCATGTAATGGCAGTAACATTTACTCTCTCGTCATCCAAAGAATCTTGTTTCATTTTCCAGCCACATTGAGAATCTTCTTTTTTTTTTCTTTTGAAAGGCTGCTTCCCTTGATAAAATTGGAGGCAATGCTTGTTATTTTGTCCATGGTGCTTATTTACAGTCTGAGGCAGCCTTTCAAAAGCCTGGCCCAAATGTTGCTCATGGGCCCTGGACCCCTAGGAAAATGAGTTATCCATAGCATGAGTGTGGAATTGAAGGTAGGGACAGAAGACCCCACACCATTTCCTTATATCTGGGGACCTAGGGAATCTAATAAACTAACTGGTTTATTGATTGATAATATTTTGTGGTGATTTTTCTCCAAAGAAAGAAAAAGCCTAGTACAGCCTAGTTCAACTAAAACTGAGCCTTTTGCAGAGAGGGTAGTGTCTTTGCTTTTCACTACTAGTTGTTTACCAGATCTATTCCAAAATCATAGAAATGTTCAACCCCATGTCAAACTTTGCGGTGGGAACTTAGCTTGACAGTGTTTCAAATCAATGTAATGGTCTTTCTCAGTGACTATCCAAAACTTTCTTCCAGGATTTCATTGGTGTGGGTAGTCTCCATCCACACAGTTTATAATCTTCATACCATTTAGTGGCTTAACTTCTTCTGTGGCCAAGAAAATTCATCATCTCTTGGCACCTAAGGACTGTCTCTCAAGCTGGTTCTCAGATGATATGCACACAGCCTATCACTGGGCTCATACTCAAAGCTTTTCCAAATTGGTAGAATCTGTCTGAAATTGCACCACCAGCAGACACTTCAGGACTTTGTCATATGCATGCACCAGGATGAGGAATGGATTAAGACTTCAGTGGAGTCATCAGATGATTAAATTAGCTAAATTATATTTAAAGTATCAGTCAGAAAAGCTATAGTAGCCTTGATGTAGATATACAGTTACAGAACAGTTATTTTCCCTGGCAAAGAGAATTACTATCTCAATCTAGTCTGTGCATACATGATTTCTAGTAGTGTTATGAGTCAGTACTTCAGAAGAGGGTGGAAAAAATTTCTCCAGTGCTCTTTACAAGGCAAAATGTGTGAATGAAATGAAAATTATCGTTTATGTGACACAGTGAAACAAGTCTCAGAGCTAATAATGAATTTGTCTTCATTAATACAAACTCCTCCCACAGTCTGTTCTTTCTTGGAGAAATGATTAGAGCTCTGTGATATTCATAGACTAGTATAATCACCCCCTCAGCAATCCAAAGGAGGAATTTGGCTCATAATTCAGAAAAATATTTTGTTCATTTTGTCCCACAAATTTCATTTATGTCATAGTAAATGATGAGGAATTAGAATGTTAATCTCTGTCAGGTGCTTTCAGAAAAAAATGAGATTAATATAAAGATGAGAGAAATTCAGACTTCATTTGGGAGAATGAATATATTCAGAAATTAACATACACAGACTCATGTATGTGAGTATAGATAGGTATATTTTTGTAACTGTATTTGCCCACCACCCTCCCCTATCTAATAATGTTTGTAAGGATCTAGGGAAAAAACAGCATGGCAGTGATTTGCCATTCTGCGGTGACTTTTGCATGCTTTATAGATGAGAAAATGTTTAAAGTGAGAACTTTACGTGAACATACCCATGCATATCAGTCAAATCTATTTGGAATGCAATCAAGTCATCAATGATGAGCTATTAATGCTTTGTATCTAGCTGCCTGGCTTCCATTCCATATTGCCCCATGTGCCATTGAAGTTACCCACACAGAACAAGCCATTCCATCCATGGCTGCCCTCACCTTGGTGTATCACCTAATACCCTTTGTGCATGTAGTAAGTTGCCCTTTTTGATTTGATTGTCTTTTTTGCCACTGTCTTCTGTTTGTTGTTCCTTTGCGATGAAACTGAGTGGCATCCTGTATTATTTCTTTCAGCCAGTAATGTTAAAGTAGAGACTCAGAGTGATGAAGAGAATGGGCGTGCCTGTGAAATGAATGGGGAAGAATGTGCGGAGGATTTACGAATGCTTGATGCCTCGGGAGAGAAAATGAATGGTTCACACAATGGCCAAGGCAGCAAAGCTTTGTCAGGAGTTGGAGGCATTCGACTTCCTAACGGAAAGCTAAAATGTGATATCTGTGGGATCATTTGCATCGGTCCCAATGTGCTCATGGTTCACAAAAGAAGCCACACTGGTAAGGCCCCACATAGTTTTTCCTTTAGGGGCCTAGAAATGGTCCCATGGGTCACCTGCATAGAACAAACTTGTTTTCTTTTCTGGGTTGGGAGCATGCTCCAAATTGACTTGCTTTGCAGCACCTCAAATCATTTGAAATGATGTAGGGAGACATATCTTTTTTACCTGAGAATACAGTTAAAGAGAGTATCTAAAACTGTTAAATCCATATCAAAAATTAAGGGAGAAAGAGGAAAAAAGGGGGCAGCTAGGTGGCACAGTGGATAGAGCTCCGGCCTTGGAGTCGGGAGGACCTGAGTTCAAATCTGGCCTCAGACACTTGACACTTACTAGCTGTGTGACCCTGGGCAAGTCACTTAACCCCTATTGCCTCACCAAAAAAAAAAAAGAGAGAGAGGGAGGAAAAAAAGATTGATTATTTAAGTGCCAACAAACAGTATATATTTCCTATCATGGGCCTAACTTGACACATAAGAAACTGTTTCAAGTACATTTTGAATTAATTAATGTTATATAGCCATACATTAATGCACTTCTTATGTCTTAGAAGGGTAAGAACCACTGGCAAATTAACTACGTGAAATGGTAAGCATAGGATCAATATGTATATTTTAAATTCTTTCCTAACAAGGCTTAAAATTTTAGAAACATTTTATACCAACAGAATTTTGTTCATTTAAAATGCACAAATGCACCTTGAAAATGATCCAAATGGGAATATATGGACATCTGAATGAAGTTATTTCAGTTCCACCATCTCTAATCTATAACTGATAAAAAGACTAAAATGCCAGTGACTGCCACAGGAAAATGGCTAGCTGTATAAGTAGTGTAATTCAAAAGAAAGAGCATTTGATCTTATCATCTCTGATAAAGGCTGAAATTAGAATTCTACCTGATCATTGTGCATACATTCTTACCATGTTCTCCACTCCTTAAGAGATTGGAAATTCCTTAAAGTGTACAGTAGCATACCATAGGATGAGAAATAATGAACTAAGAGAAACCGAGTGGCGTGGTGGAGAGAGTGCTAGACCTGAGCCAGGAAAACTTGGATTTGAATCCTGCCTTGTACACTAACAAATTGGGAAAGTCACCTAATCATTTTTAACCTCTGTTTCTTCATCTGTAGAATAAGAATAATAATGGCCCCTGCCTCACAGGGTTGTCATGAGGATCAAATGAGATAGCATGTGCAATGCTTTGCAAAGCTTAGAGTTCTATATAAATTAAACTAAACCAACTAAACATCGTTCCAGGTTTGAGATGTGCTATGTGTCTAACATTTAATCACATTGATTGAATAGCATAGTTATATGCCAATAGATTTGTTGGATTTCTATCAGCAATACTGTTGAATCTAAGAGTTAAAATATGAATGGAGCAAATTTAGTCATTGGCCATATGTTGGAGCCTCCTGTGTATTTAAACGAGATCCTCACTTTTGTGTCTGTGGAGTCAGACCTTACTTAACTTGAGAGGTCATTGAAACTTTCACAGTGATATAACCAGGCCTCAGTTAGTGCTACCGTTTAAGGGTATGTTACTGACTTTTCCGAATTACCCAAAAAGTTAGTATCTACCCACCTCACAACATAAGAGAAATCATGAAAATGTACCTTATCATAGAGAGAAAAGTGGAATTGACTAATCTTTCCTAGAAGAATGAGCATTTATGAAAATATGTAGGATGGAATCAGTATCCCAAGGGTTGGATAGAGTTTAAATGGTCAGAATATGCTATTAACCTTAGGTAAATAACCTCCCAAGGCTTTAGTTTCTTCTGTAAAATGAGGGGGTTGGATTAGATGGTCTTGGAAGACTCTTTCACTTTTAGATACATGATCCTATGAATCTGTATATCCTTTTCCCAGATCACACTAGCCTGTTGTATTTGTAGAGATAGATAGCTATGCTTCAAGGGTGCTAAAGAAGATGACTATATTCTATATATTCTATATTCATGGCCACAAAACGAAACCTGAAGAAAGCAGGACACAGAAGGAGGCATGCCAAGGCATGACATCACTAGGCTTTTTATTTTACTCTACAGTTGATTTCAGCTGTACGGTTTTGTCTTTTATTCAGCCATGTGTTCCCTCATCTATATAAGCCTCCTGTGTGTTGGGGGTAAATACTGATGTTTTGTAAAAAGCAGAGGTTCCAGAATCCATTTAGTAACCAACCTGTGTTCCATAGCAAAGTTTTTTGGCTGATCTAAAGAAGGATTTATTGGAGGTGGAGAAGAGGTAGATTCCCAAAATAGGGTAACTCATATAGAATATGCCTGAGGCATCTTATCTAAATTCATTACGTTCATCTAAATTATCTAAATTCACTGAATTTATCTTAAATGAAAATGTAACTTCTAGAATAAGCAAACTTTGCTCTGCCAAGTAGGCCCCTGAATCCTGAAATTATCCAATTAAATAGACATATTACATGTAGTCTGAACTAAAGCTGTGTAATAGTAATAACATTTCCCCCTTTTGTAGTAATGTGAAAATTAAACTGAAAATAGGATACTATGTGATAGACACTTAACAGAATACACTGAAGCCTATTTTAATACATTCCTGATGAAGGAATAAATCTTGCAAATGAATTACTTTGCCGCTAATTCATGTAAAGCCTGCAGGTATGGTGAAATTCTCTTAAATAAATATTTGATAAATGAATAAAACTCTGGCATACTAAAATGCTGAAATATAATGACTGCCTGACTTGATAAAAGGAATAATTACATTTAATGAATAAACCTGCCAAGTGCAGATATGCATAGCAGCACCTGCTGTTTGCTACCCACTTTTGCCCACAAATAGCAGTAAAGTACCAAGGACTCTCCAGTATATTTTATTTCTCCTACCTACAGAGCAACTCAAGTCATGGTCACCCACCCCCAATTTTTTAGTGGGCAGCAGATCTTTAAATTATTTTTTCCCACATTAGCCTGTAGGGAAAACATTTGAGACAGATTATTATGCTCAGTGATTTGTTAGAGGGTTGGCATCACAGTGTATTTTCCCTCACGTAGATCAATCTGTGTCTCTGCCCTACATGGTAGCTTTATACAGGTGGAAATCTGTTGATCATATCACATTTGTGGACTGGATCCATTGATTAAAAGAAGGATTTCACATTTCTGGATCCTGGCTTCAGGATGAAAAAGATCAATAGCCTTACCCTTCAATGTTATATCCTATGTGTTATGTAAAGTGACCTATTTGTAGCTCTTCCTGTATTCCGTAAGGTAGCGGTGTACTGGTAAATGTTTAACAACCAATTCACAGGGGGAGAAAAATATATCTGTGACACTTTTAAGTCGATTACATTTTTCTCCATCACTTTCTTGTGTCTAAACGATCAACAGAAACAATAAACCAAGCTCAGATTTGTAGTGCTTGCTGATTTCCGAGGTATAAATACTCACACTGAAATTTGAATGCTTGGTTGTACTAAACTGGTGGTATAAGCTGGCCCCTGCACCAACCCTGTTTAGAAACATCCTTAGAATGGAAGTGTAGTTATGCCAGAAATAATAAGTAATGCTTATTTCAGAGTAGTTCTCTATTTTAAATATTTCACTGAAAATGGATTGTACATTTCAAAAATCAATAGTGGAATTTAAGAATTCTATCTCTTCTTTTGCATTGTCATGTCAATTAAGATCAGCCATGGTGTTCCAAAAAAAATTGATCTTCCCCTCCTACCTTTGCAATGAGGACACTACTGGTCCTTTTCTTTAGAGGGCTTTCATTTGTACTTGAGGAAGTGTCATGCTTTAAAAAGAGCACAGGCTCTAGAGACAGAGAACGCGACTTGGAATTCCGACTCTACCATGTACCTGTGTGACGTTGGGCAAGTAATTTCCTCCACTCTGGACCACAGTTTACTTACCTGTAAAATGAGGAGAGATGGGTTGATTCAGTCATTAATGTCCTTCCTAGCTCTAAATCTATGACCTCATGAATTCCTTATCTTCTCCCCTCATTGGTTTTGGCTGAGTTCTAGAACTCCAACCTTAATAGACAGTGATAAGTTGTATCTAACTTAGATCATAGATTCCATTCCTCTGACTTAGATTACATGACCCAGAGCTGGAAGGGACTTTTAGAAATGTGTTTTTTTTTAATTTGTAACACTATTTTATCTGCAGTCATCTTTATAGCCTGACTTTCTTTCCACTAGTATTTCAGTCCCAACTGTGTCCTAGAGATTGTGCTAAATGTGGAATATGTAGGAACAAAAATAAAATAATCCTTGTCCTCAAAGAGCTTATATTCTACTGTAGTTTTATATGTGTAAACTAAAAGTAGCTAGATGATGCAGTGGATACACCACTGGGCCTGGAATCAGGAAGACCTGAGTTCAAATACGGCCTCAGACATTAACTGTGGGACCCTTGGCAAGTCATTTGATCCTGTTTGCCTCAGTTTCCTCATCTGCAAAATGAAGTGGGGGTAGCAAACCACTCCAGTGTCTTTGCCACGAAAATTCCAAATGGGGTCATGAAGAGTCAGACATAATTCAATAACATGCTAACTAGTTATTCTTTCATATCTCTGCCCTGGAATGCAGTGATGATAACTCTCCTGCTAATCTCATTGGGCTCTTTGGAAATGATATGGATGGGATGTGGATTTAAAAGTGCTCAGTAACTGTGCTTATAAATGCAAACTGAATATCACAAAGGGTCAGATTTTTCAAGCATAATTAAGCCCTTCCCACTAAAAAAGCATATTAATTATAGCTACTTCAAGTAGTCTCAAGGAGCATCTTGAGAGAATATTTGAAAATAAGGAACAGGCTGGCTTTTTTTTTTTACAAAGTGCTAAAAAAAAGATGTGAACATGTGCCCCCTCTCTTTAATGAATCAAGGACTATATGCCTTACTTGGAGCCAAACAGGAATTCTGCTGATCTAAAAAGTATCAGAGGATTTTTGCTGCCTGAAGCTAAATTTCATCAAGAATATTCTTAAATTTGAATCAGAATATGT